ATAAAATTACATTATGTTCTTATTCTTTATCAAATACTTCAATTCCAAAAATGCTGACAAAATACAAAGGAGATTCTAAAATTTGTGGTATTACATACACATTCAACAAACAATAATTACAAAATTAAAATATATTTACAAAAAATAAATTACTTTAATTCATTTATTGAGACTCAATAATAGAAAGTAATGGTCAAATGGAAAAGAAAATTATGGAATGTGTAAAAGTGCATGTTAATCAAACTGTTTAAACTTCACTTTATTATCATTCTTAAAAATTTCGTCATATAAGGTAGTTGTACCTAATCAATTATATTATACATATGTGCAGGGATTCATTTTGTACTACCATTTTTTCAAACACATATCGTTCTCTAGTAATATCAATTCTTTAAGGCAGTAAAAAAAGCAACTAATTTTTAATACTACCTTTCCAAGATGATTTAATCAATAAGTAATTCAAAATGAACAGATCCTACCTTATCTGTTCTTTTGTGTTTTATATTATGGGCCCAAGCTTTACACTCTATGTTGATAACAATTCCAGCTAAAAATAAAAACATAAAGCTCCTCTTTATCTGATGAATTACAAATTATATATTTTGATGAAAAGGCACCTTCAAATATCATTAAGTTTACTTTTTGTTTTTCTTTTTAGTTACATCTATGTAATTTATTAAACTTTGTTTATGCTTACCAACTGGACGTAAAAATTGTACAGCTACTAAGGGGCTCAGATATCCTTCTGCATTTTTGTATGGATAGTAATAGCCCGGAAAACCTTGGATTTTAGGATAATAAGTAATAGGACCCAAATACTCAACATCAGCAGGATTTTCACCTTCACAGCTGATCCACACTGTATTTAGCTGTAATAAAAAAACTATTAAAGCCTATAACTTTCTATTAAAACAATCGCTTTACCTCATGTTGACTAACATTAAGCCTAATGTGATCAACAAGCTGTTTGGGCATTTCTTTTGGTAGGTTATTAGTATCATTAAAGTATTCTGGAACCCATCCATATATCCGATTTAGTTTTAAAAAGATGCAAGGTGCATTTCTGTGGTATTCAAAATATTTGTCAGGGCTGCAGGGTCCCCATAATCTCACATCAAAATCACATACTTCGTTTTCTTGTGGGTACTGAGTAAAGCTACATCTTTTGATAGTTGCTGTGCCCTTTTCTGCTTTACCTGGCACATAATATTCTACAAAATTTTCATAATAATATAAAATAATAACTTTGATCTTTACATTTGCATACTTTCTAAAAATCCCATTAAATTATTAACCCATTTCATATAATTTGTTTTATTTGAGCCTTGAAACCAAATTAGTGAACTTTCAACATTTGTTTCAAGAGGCATTGGTCTAAAACCTAAACCAGGATTTGTTCCAATGATGGATCGCTCTAAACGCCATTTAGGAATTCTAGGGTCAAGTGTTTGGAAAAATACCCACATACAAATAGCAACAAGAGCAGCCAAAATCCCATAAAAAATCAAATAAAAGAGTCCAATTTTTGCTAAAAAGAAAGGTGAATAATAAACCTAAAATATGTGTAGAAGCGTAAAAGACAAAAAGGTACACAAAAAATTCATCTCAAAGTAAATTTAAATTATCTTAATTAACCTAAATTTAGTGTAACGCCCACCTTGCAAACAGAGGTGTATAGTTTCTAAAAAATGTTACATGTAGGCCTTTCAGTTGGTAATCAAAAAATGATAATGAAATTGAAGTTTTTTCACAAATCTCGTAGTTTTTCATACATCTTACCCCAACTTTTTCCTGTGCGTCCCAACACAGTTCCTTTTTCTTCATTGTAAACTTTATCAAAAAAACTTGTAATGGTTGAATCTTTAAACTTATTGGAAACAGTCATTTTATATCACATTAATTACCTATCTACTATAAAGCCACAGGACGGAATATTTGTATAATAACTGTTTCTTCTGGACGGAATTAAAACTTTGTAAACAAACGCCACCTTACAGGTAGGCGAGGCCGTTAATGAGTATGCTCTGTTGTGGATTGTGTTGACTAATAATGTACAAAGACTGTAAACTACAAGATAGAATAAGAAACTTGGCAATGTCGCATCGTGAAATTCTTTCCCGATTCTTTCCTTACTTTCACTATATACAGGGTGTTTCTATTTAATAAATATAATAATAATACTTACTATTTATAGTATT